ACCATGAAACTATGTCTGTTAACTGCTGGACAAACAATTGGAACTACTATTCTGACAATTAAGCATTGGTATCTTGGCTTCCTCAGGGTGTGACATAGATGTAGGATTGGGGTTTAATGCTAATCATAATAGAACATGATTTTCACATAAAAACATAACATATGCTCACATGTGTGTGATATAAAAGATAACATCTTGTGAAGTTAGTGTCATGTACCCAGAATGTTTAAAAGAAGCATGTATAAGAATTAACTTGTGGGCAAGTGTATTTAGCTTCTATAGCTGCTCATTCCTTTGGCTGGTTTTCTTTTGCTTATTTCAACGTAAAACTTATTTTCCTTCATATAATATTCAGAGTGTTATCATCATCTTTGTTGTTTTTAACCATACTCTTTCAGCCAATTTGGACCCCTACCCTGCCTCTCAGCCACAAGATTCAAGGAAGGACAGCTAAACACAGTATTCAAATCCTTACAAAAAATCTAATTATAATTCTGTTTGTACCTCTTTTAGTCAGCACATCTTATGCTTGCTAATACCTCATAAATAATGTACTGTTCCACTTTGATCATGTGGAGAAATGAAAAAGACATGTCATAGATGATGCTTGCTTTCAGTGGGGAAAAAGAAACATCCTGTCAATACCTCTTAAATAATGGAATGTTTGTTTTTGATCACAAGGAAAAATAGAAAAGACATATCAGAGACGCTGTTTGATTTCAGTGAATAAAAGGAAGAAAACAATACTCAAACTGGCAAGATTTTATAAGTACTATTAGTTAAAATATAGAACAGAATATAACTCACACACACACACACACACACACACACACACACACACACTATATTTCAAAATTTTTAAGTCATCCCTAGAATTAATATGGGATGAACTTGACAGAACAGTTTAAAAAAAAAAAAATACAACTAATGGAGTGGACCTTAGAGAGAGCATATCACCTGGCATGATCAACCATTTGAACACGGCCAGTACATGCAACCTGTCATGATGACTTGTGACTTTGTCAAAGCAGAACAATTAATGACAATTTTCATCTACCCAATTTCACTCAAAAGATTTGGGCCAACTTTGGTATGGTTTTCACACACACTTTCCAAAGTTGCTACATGTTTGATTGCCTTCTCAGACCTATGATTTTCATTACATACATACATATATATATATATATATATATATATATATATATATATATATATATATATATTTGAAAGAAACAAACATAAACAAACCCAGTCTGATGAAGTAACAGATGAAATGTGTCAAAACACTTTTTAGAGTTTGTCATACATCTTTCAAAACTATTCTTGATATATGAAAATTTATATATTGTTATCTCATGTATATATATATATATATATATATACACACACACACATTATGACTGTAGTGGGGATCGCTGAGTCAATACAAATGATCCTTTCCTTAGCTGCATAGTATTTTCTTTGCCAGAGCTATATACTGTTTTGATTTTAGAGATTTTTTTCCTTTTCCTGGACCACTTGCTGCCCAAGTCTATAGAATGCAATCTGTTCTGCTATTAACCCATAGCTGGAGGGAGAAGAGATGAATTCATAGCTTCCCCAAGGCTATTAGCATGTAAGTGAATGTAATAAACTTGACTGATTCTGCAATCCACACCATAACCCATTACTCCAGAGTTGCTCCACACTGTTTCTCTCTCTCTCTCTCTCTCTATATATATATATATATATATATATATATATATGTGTGTGTGTGTTTGATAAGTAACTCCCTATTTTATGTATGAGTCACTCTCCCATCTAACTATAATTTTTACAAGACTAGAGTGTCCATCATAGATAAAATAGGGAGTTACTTTTCAATCGCCATATATATATATATATATATATATATATATATATTTATATTACATTATTTACATTATTCAGACTATTGTCCTCATCTTTGTTGCCATATTTATCACAAAGTTTTGGCCGTTGTAAGCTCCGACCTTCTTCAGGGGGTTGGAATGTCAAACTGAACCCTTTATTTTGCTCGCTGGGGTAGACTGTTCCAGGTCCACGTGCCATGTTTGATGGATGTCAGTTATCAGTTATCTCCTGTTAATTTCCATCTGAAAGTTCTCCACTGCCTTAACCGGGTATTGAACTCACACTCTTTGTGTCCTGTCACTGGATCTAACCAACGCCTTTATCCACTGTGACATTTATTACATTGGAATCGTAAACACAATCCAATTTATTAGACCATAAATTCAAAAATTATAAATTATAACCATAGAATATTAGTGTTCGAGCCTTTTATATTATATTCTTGCTCTGTCTTGTACATAGAGCTCTACCTGGATTCTATCTTCTTGGAACTTGATATATATATATATATATATATATATATATATATATATTGACCACTATATTATCAATATATATATATATATATATATATATATATATATATTGAATTATCAATATATATATATATATATATATATATATATATATTGATATATATATATATATATATTATATATAATATATATATATATATATATATATATATATTGATTCATTAATATTATCTATATATATATATATATATATATATTATATATTAATATATATATATATATATATATATATATTATATAATATTATATATATATATATGATTTACTAATATTATCAATATATATATATATATATATTCCAATATATATTTATAAAAAATTTAAGCTAAATATATATAATTATATATATATATTTAATAAATATATATATATATATATATATATATATATATATATTTTTTATATATATATATATATATAAATTAAAATCAATTATATATATATATATATATATATATTATAAATTAATTGATTTAAAATATGGTTATTTTAAAATAAAGTTCCAACTATGTTTCAAAAAATATTTAAAAACCCCTAATTTTATTTTTGCAAATAAATTAAAGCATTAGTTCCATTTCATCTTTCAATTTTGGAGTAACTTTTAAAATTTAATACACAGCTAAAATCACGTTTCCATGGTTATCAGAATATTATATGGTTATTTTGCTACACAGTTCCAACCATGTTTCAATATCAATATATATATATATATATATAATTGACCACTAAAATTATCAATATATATATATGAAATCAATTTAAAAAATAATAATCCTTCATGACATGATATAACACTATGGTATTGTTAAAGACAACAACATCCAATCCTAACCCAAGGAAGGCCAAAGAGGAAATAAAGCAAAATGTTATAAAGGTGAAGGGAAATCAAAAATAAAATAATTATTTCTAAAATTGCCATTATAAAACATGGATAAAATTAAAAACAACTTGGCACACAATGGTATGGTCAACTGACTGACAACACTGTTTCTTATCTGATCAAATTTAAGTAGCATCAAGCCTGGTTTGTACTTGGATGGGGGTTCCACTTGAGAATATCAGGTACTTTAAGCGACCTCCTACAAATTGAAATATGGTTTGGCTTTAAATAAACCCCAAAGAGTTGATAAGCTGTGAAAAAGCAATTAACCAGAATGCAATGTTGATCATTAAAATGATTTTGATAGATAGCTTTCAAAAGTATCTGGTGTAGAGATTTGTTTGGCAAAGCATTTCATCATCATCATCATCAGGTCTGTCAATGTCTCTATACAATCCAGATTTTTCTCTCTGTGACTTCATGTTGAAAGGAAGATTTCAGAAAGTGGATGAGTTTAAGGAGAATGTAATAAGACAACTGGTCTTTTCTGACTATTTTTTAAAATAAATGTGATTCTGGAATAAGTGTGTAAGGTTTCTTGATGAGTACATTGAAAGAGACTCGGACATTATTTGCTCATGTAAGTTTTTTATATAATATTAAAGGTCTGGGTTAGACCTATTGTCAAAAGGTGGCAGGTGCTGCCATTTCTCAGAAAATCATTTATCCTCTATCTTTGATACCCTACCCTGACTAAAAGACTGTTCCACCCAACTCCAATCAAAACACTCTGGTGACTGGCTTAAGTTGGATGCTTTCCAGATAGACCTCATGTCATTTTATGAGTGGACATGTTCTGAGGGAGTCAAATGAAGTGAAGTTACCTTGATTTTCAGTACAGAATGCTGGTCAATCTAACAGTAAATGAAGAAGAGACTTGAAGCAATGGAAATGTGGTTCTACAGAAGGATGCTGAGAATACCATGAATTGAACATGTGAGCAATGACAAAGTTTTATAGAAAATGAAAAAAAAAAGCACACTTTAACATCAGAAAAATTTGAAATTTCATGGGCACATAATGAGGAAACAAGGCTTAGAACATTTGATACTCACAGGATATATTGAATTCAAGAAGGATAGAGGAAAGTAGCATATAACCTACCTAACAAGCTTGTGCAACTAATTGGCAGAACAGGGATTAGGAGAGATAGCAAAATGACAAAACTTACTAAGAGCTATAAAGGATAGGAAATTGTGGAGAGTCATGATCTTTTACATCCTGAAAGGACTCAGCATAAAGAAGTTTATTGTTCTGTTTAATAGGTTCTTTGTGAGCACTTTAGTGTATTTTGATCAAAGGAGATTTTATTTTACAAACATCTTCCTGCCAATGAAAATGCTTTTGAATTTCTTGACCAAGATTGTTGCTTTTCCTTAGGACACTGTGTTGCTGTTTGTGTCTTGGCCAAACTTTGTAGAAAATTGATGCAAGAAATGTAAATGATAGGTGGGGAAAAAAAATTTCCCTTTTATACTGGATCCTAATCACTGAGATTTCTTCAAGCCGCACATTGAATATTCATTGTACAATTTGTCTGCGGATTTTTGTGTATGTATCTTGTTAATTCCCCAGGCTTTTCAATGTGTGACATGTTGATATTGTTTCCAAGGTCTGCTTAATAGTGCTTTGTTACCATTTAGTGCATTGTTGCCTTTGCAGTAACTCTTTTTGATATAAGAATAGATAATATTTGATTGTTTCATTGGAGGATGTTTCTTATCTTTTTCTCTTTTTGCTCAGTGTTTTCTCCATTCCTGCAAGTTTGGAATGGTGAAGGCAATGATTGTAAGAAAGACTCTGGTTAAGTCAGTAGTGATCACAGTTGATCTTGTCTTTGGATATAGGCTGCAGTTGAACTTTTAATATTCCACACTTTCTAGTCTCTTTTAATTCACCAATAATGATAAAATTAGTCCATGAATTATTGGATCTGGTATACTTATCTTTGTTGTTTTGATCACTTTATTTTGTTAGTACATTATCTAGTCTTCTCTCTGTTGAGTGAACTTCTAGATGTAAGTATCCTAATATAATTCAACTTGTTCTTTCCTTTCTTAGCACATACGTTACATACTGTAATAGTTTGCCTGTCCCCTACCTTCAAATTTCAGATAATGGACGATTTCTGTTTGGTTGAAAGGGTAGATGGAAGAGAAGAAATATCAAAAATAGTTTTAAGGAAAGAAAGAAAGAAAAAGAAATTGTGCTTGCTCTGGTGTTTAAAGTGAAATAGAATACCTTGTCAATTTTGAATCTTTTCATTTGTACCCTCTTACTTCTTGAAATAATGACTTGTATTCATATTTATTGTTCTTATTGTAATATTTTCTTAAGCTCAAATATTTAATGAGGCATTAGAAGAATTTTCACAAAGTGACAAAATTTTAAACAAAAAAAAATTACTGTTTTTTTCATTTCACTCTAAGCAAGGCAATAAAGCTACTAAAATGTGGGGGAAGTTACTGAATGCAGAAGAATATAAGAAAAAGAAAAACATTATTAACCCTTTGGCATTCAACACACTCAAACCTGTTTCATAAATATCAACTCTCAAAGTTTCACTGTTTGTGTGATCTCCTGTACTATTTGCAATGATATTGTCATCTATTATGACAGAATATACATGGGTGGGTTAAATATTGATAGCTGATATTTATGTGGTGTGTTTGATTGCGTTGAATGCTAAAGGGTTTAAAGAACATGATTTAAAACAGGAAATAATGATTGACATTGCATTTAAATTTTTGAAGCAAGAAGATGGAAAGAGAGTTCTGTAAGCAAGAAGTGAAAAAAAAGAAACTCTTAGCATAGAACTTCCGGTTATATTTAGACATTTGAATTGTAAAATGATGAGACCTTGCTGCCAATTTAGTACAATTCATAAAGTCTATCTACCAGAGAGGAAAGTTCATCAGAATGATTACCATGAAAGTATTTATAGAAAGGGCACAGGGATGTTGCATAATGGCAGTAGGAAAGTGATTGAAGCCGAGATGCCAGGTCAAGACTGATGACATTGCAGATCCTTCTTTGGATTTATCAAGGATCTGTAAATATATAGCAGGAACACCAGACCATGTGTGGCAGCAATATTCAAAGCATTGATGAATGATAGTAAAGATTACTGAAAGTGAGCTATACTGGATGAAATCCACAGAGTATATTGTCCAAAATGTTATTATCAAAACAAGAAAGATAAGGATATTTGTCTAAATAAATGACAGTGCTGTATTTTGGAACTTCCCATAATATTTAAATGAAATCCTACCTCAAGATTGAACAGAGTTCTGTCAGAAGTCAGTATTTGAGCTCGGATAAAAAACAAAACAAAAAAAAACTATATTTTTAATGCTGATTTTCAAAACAGGCAATTTCTCCCTCCCACTTAAAAGACTAGTATAAGATAATTTTAATCCCCAATTTTAGCTCTGTGTTATTCAAAGCTAAGCTTAGTAAATAACTCTAATTAAAATTTGGTTAATGTGTTAATGCATGGAGGCTAGTGTCATGGTCATTGTCATGGAAAGTTGATTTGGTGAACCGAGTTCAAATTCCCATCTAGTATATTTATGTTCAGTTTTACATTAATAGTCTTAGGAAAGGCATGAATTCATCTCTTCTCATCCCTCTCCCCATCTATCGGTTAAATAGCAGAGTAGACTTAGCTCTCTATCCTTGAGTGGCAACTAGTCTAGGAGAAGGATAACTCTACACTGAAAACCATGGAAAAGGCAACTGGAAACCATTTGACTATGTTTGCCAAGAAGTCATGACAATTCATGGATAACAAGGAAAAGGAATGTGTTGAAAGATATAGTTGTCTGTTTCTTGGAAGGTATTTAAAGAAAAGAAGGAAAATGGGTTAAATAGTTTATCTTTTTTCCGATAGTGTCAGTCATCAGAGTTCAATACTGGGTTTGGTGTGAGGATTTTTCACTTCTGATTTACAAGGCTGGCTCTCCCCATTTGTAAAATTGGAGAAATATAATCTTCCACTCCATATATTTTTTTTTTTTACCCCAATTTGACTTTATGCTATATAAGGCAAAGTCCAGTAAATATTAAAATCATTTCACAAATGTTGAATGGTGATGTTATGGTTGTTTGATACACTTTTGGCATTTGAGAAAAGATTGATTAATTTTACAGACTTTGTGCACAGCTTACATGACCTGAAATAAAAAAAAAATAAATTTGTAATACCCAAAACTGAACACACTAGCTGTAAAATGCATGATTAAAACACACCTACTGTAACATGGTAGGTACCCAAATAGGTATTTCTAAGCTTTGCTTAGTCTGGCACAAGATCATTATAATTCCTTTCTAAAATTCTGGTATGAAGAGTTACCATGACTCATATTATTCATAGTCTTCAACTTTGTTATTGTACACCTCAGATCTCTTTGAGTAACTGTTAAATCTGATAATCTTTAAGGAATTTCTAACTGAACCTGTAATATAGGAACAACTCTAAGTAAAAGCTTATGAAACTTTATTTGATTAATTCAGCTTTAGCGCTAAAAGTGTTTATATGGAGTATGTAGCCATGGTCAAATGCAAAATAAGTAACAGAACTGTCCAACAAATAGAACTGACAAAGATTGCACTAATCAATAACAAAGAAAGGAATGAGGCAAATAATAAAATAAAATAAGCAAACAATATATGCAAGGCAAATTAACCTTAATAAGGCAAAATAGCAGTAATATGACAAAAAGTTCACAAACCATGAACCGGCCTATTTTATTGGCTAGGAAAAAATCCCAGCATGCATTTGTGTGCTTTTGCCTATAAAAGGGGAGAGGAAAGTGTTTTACAGTCATTCCTTAATTTGATTGAAACTAACAGTTTATTTTATTATAGTGGATGGTTACAAGCAAGAGGGGAGATGGGATGTGCTTATTTTATTATCACAGAACCTTTTATTTAATCTATAGGGATATTGATTATTCTTGTCCATGTCTAGGGATGTATTTTTTCTTAGTATTACTCAGTTATTGCTTGTCCTGTTTCCACTGAGTCTGAGTCTGTACTGCCCAGTCCAAGAATTGAACTCATAATTACTGTGACAGCAAATTCACAAACTAATGCTTAATCCTCTTGAAATGATAATTTACATCCATAGATTAAAAAAAGGGTTCAGTGTTCAATTTGAAATTCCCTGAGGGTTGACAGATATTTGAAGAACGTGAAAGAGCCCAGTGGTTGACACGTGGATAAGGACATTAGTCTGCACATGAATTCTGTAGATAAGGCCATTATAGTTGAGCACTTGTGAAGATCACAACACTACTTAAATAGACTGGTCCATTTGAAAAAAAAATAGGGAAAGATAAAGGTGTGTGTGTGTGGGGGGGGGAATTTATCTTTGTAGCTTAGCATTTATAGACCTTCCTCAAGCCACATTTGTCAGAATCAAAAAAATATTGATTTTTGTTTTTTTATCAATTCAGAAGAGAGGCCCTATTAATAATGTTGATGCAGTGTGAAATTGATTCCATATATTTTTACAGAGTTATCTGAACTTTAGTTATTATTTACAAATGTCAAGTTTGAAAGTGCCCTTACATAATTGATATCTGTATATTTTTAAAATTTTAAAAACGTTTTAGAATATTTTATTTTTTTAAACTTATCGCGGAAGAGTTTTACAAAAGCACAAACATTGGAGAATCATAATTATTTATCTTCAAGGAAGACTAAACGGATGTATACTTTTTATTAATTTATATAAATTTGTTGTTTAATTAAAAATGTATATATCCATTTTTTTCAATTTTTTTATTTAAAAGACATCATTTGCAAAAAAGTATGTTGTACGTAAAATATCTAAGTCAGAATTCAATTTTACACTGTATTTATATTATGAACATGAACTCCTTCTAAATTGATAAAAAAAAATCAATATTTTTTATTCTGACAGACAAGCCTTGAGGAATGTCTAAGGAATGCTAATCTACACAAATTATTTCCACTCTTCAAAAAAAATTTCCTGATTTTTAGGAGTGAACCAGTCAACTAAACTAGTGCCAAAATCACTCTTATTAATAATCAGTAACTTACAAGTTTTGGTAACAGGTTTCAAAGTAATAACAATAATAATGAGATAATCCAGTGTGAGACAATGTTTTGTTCATTTACAATATATTTATATTTAGACTATGGTACTCATCTTTGTTGTTATCACAACGTTTTGGCCATTGTGCTCTCCGGCCTTCCTCAGTCTGAATTCTGAACTGAACTCTTTATTTAATCTATGGGGGCAGACTGCTCTTATTACACTGCCTATATCAAGGGATATCATCTAATTCTTATTTTTAGTACTGCTCAGTTTTTGCTTGTCTGCTTTTACTGAGATCTATAGGAGTAGACTGCTCTTGTTCTACTTCCCCACAGGGCTGGATCCAGGGGGATGGAGAGTAGTGCACGCCCCACCCACAACCAATTTCCGAGAAAATATTTTTTGTTGCAAAGTAGATAAGGTAAGCTAATACAGAGTGGTATAGAAATAACTGAACTTAAGTCGACATTAACCCATCGCCATGAGCTTGAATCTAATTTTATGAAATGATTTCAATTTTGCTGATATCAATAAATTAAAATTTAAAAATGATAATCAAAATAAAATAAATCCAAATTTGAAAATGATTGGCTATAATGAAAAAAGTTTTTTAGCGTAATATATTATAATCACACTTTGAATCTAAAAGTTTGATTTTGCAGTTTTATATATCTAATAAATAAAAAACAGAAATTATATATATATATATATATATATATATATATATATACATATATATATATATATCTTCTATCTTCATTTCTATAACCTAATATATATGGTCACAGAATGTAAAATTTTGAATTGAGATTTTTACTGAGGGACATATTCCCTCTAACTGAAAATGCTGGATCTGCCCCTGTATTGTCTAGTTCTTGTTTTTAGTAATGCTCACTTATTGCTCGTAAGTTTTCACTGAGTTCAAGTACACACTGCTTGACCCAGACTTGTTGTGATACCAACAACAAAGATGAGGATGATAGTCTGAATATAAATAATGTAAGTAATGAAAACTCCTCATCCACGAAGTTCAGAAGGAAATTTTTTTTTTAATGTTTTTTGTAAGAACTTTGTTTGATCTTTAAGCCTTTCTTTTCTGAATAACAGACTTGAGTTCAGTTGGAATTGTCTGAAAGTTCTTTCTGCAGAATCTGAGTCTACTTTGAATTTGGCAAGCTAATGCTAACATTTAAGCTGAATTCCATTCAGTTCAATTAAATTATGAATTAAGATGTAATTAACAAAGCCAGGGAATTAATAATTGTTAATCAGTTGTGGATTTTCAAGTGAAAATGTTGAGAAAAACAAGGATGCTGATCTGAATAATTGACATAATAATATTGGTGCTTTATTTCAGAGCTTCAGACAATATACACAATAGGCTTGAGAAGACAGAAGCTGTTATATAGTAATCAAAACAATAAATATGAGGATTCCTGTCTGAGTAAACTTGCTATATAATAGGCAAAGTTTGTAATATCTGTAACTTTTTTTATGTACCACAGTTATTTCCCTTGCACTGTCACTGCAGATACCAGCAAGCTAACTCAGTCAAACTGTTCAATGGTGTTTACAAAGCTATAAAGTGAAAAGACTGACACTGAAAAAAAGTGCAGGATAATACTACTACTGCTACTACTACATCATCAATTATAATTTGGCAGGTCAAATCAGAGAAATATATGAAGCTGTAGCTCAAGTTGTCCATTTTGTGTTTGGCACTCACGGGACCATATCCAGGAATCTTTCTGCTTTGCAGGATGCCTTGGGATACCTGATATCATTGGGAGTGTGCAGGTGGTAACACTGCTTGGGATAGCTCATGCACTGGAGAAAGTGTTGTGTCCCTAAGCTGTTGTTTGGAGATGAGATATGATTGTCATCATCCCTCTAAAGCATCTGAGATTTGGTAGAGGCTAACAAAAAAAATAATCAGAAAATTTACATACCTGTTGTTATTTTCAACAGTATGCATAAACTGGTTCATGAAGTAATGTCACTATTTAAAACAATGTTTCGAGATGCTGACTGGCTTTGTGGTTCAATAGTTCTTCTACTAGCTGCATCCCTTCAAGACATGGGCAATCATGGCTCTCCAAATCTTCCCTATTCCTTGTGGCTCTTAGTAGTTTTTCTGCCTTTGCTAAGGTTTCTACTACCTGTTCCACCATCTATTCACACATGCTCATCAGCTCATAGAAGAACTATTGCTGCCTTTCCCTCTCTCTCTTACCCTATGGGGGTTAAGTTTTCCAAGCCTTCCTCCCACATTGTATCCAAGGAATTCCAGTTGTCTCTACTCTTGATTCTGTGCATATGTGTTCTTTTTTTGCCATTTTCTTCAAGACTTCCTTGTTGCTTACTTGCTCTGTCGATAGAATTCTCAGTATTCTTCTGTAAAACCACATTTCTGTTGCCACCAGTTTACCCCTTGTCCATGAGGATATTTTTCAACATTCACTGTCACATAAGAGGATGGATATCCTATAGCAATCCAGCAATCTTTTCTTTATTTCTAATGGAATTTTGCTGTTTCTCAGTACTTTGCTTAGCTTTTGGAAGGTATTTTTTCTTGTTGTTTGTTCACCTTGTCCATGGAATTCTCAGTATCCTTCTGTAAAACCACATTTCTGTTACTTCCAGTTTTCTCATCATCTGTATTTATTGCCACATAACAGCACTGGTTTCTTTGTTTCTATCAAAACATTTCTGATTTTTGGCACTGGTTTCATTGTTTGTAATAAAACAATTTTAAGCACTTTGCTTAGCTTTTGGAAAGCATCTTTTGCTTATGCAATACATGTTTGGATCTCAGTGCCACATTTTCCATCTTCTGTTAAAAAACATCCCAGATATTTGAACTTTTGTATCTGCTTGATGTTTATATCTCCAATAACTAGTATCTTGGGATTTTTCTCTTGCTGATGACCATACTTCCTGTCTTCTTGAAGTTGACAGTTAGTCTTTTTGTCTTTTACTACACTATCTTGGATGTCCTGTAGCTTTCTTTCCATGTCAGCCATCAACACAATGTCATTTGTGTATTTTATATTGTTAAGATTATCTCCACCAATAATAAATCTTGGTAGAGTTTCCAGCTCCCTTCAGATTAGCCTTGTTGTAAAGGTTGAGAAAATCTGAAGAGGACGCAACCTTGTCTCATGCCCCTTTCTGTTTTAGTGAAGCTATTCAATTCTATTTTCTATCCTTACTATTCCAAACATTACTTTGTGCATACCCATGTTTGAGTAAGTTTTAAACATTATATATTTCCTCCTTTTATTTCTCCTATGTGTTACCTACCTTTCTGGACTTGTGAAATAATGGCTCTCCCCAACTTTCTATCATTGTGGCCTTTAGCAGTTTTCTCCTTTTACTAAGCCTTCTGTCCTCTGTTCTGCATTCCATTCACACAAGCTCATCAAGTAGGTGTATTTGATTGATGTTGACATCTCCAATTTATAACTCAAATCTTCTTTTCTTGCTGATGATCCTATTTTCTGTATTTTTCCAATTAGTCCCTTTTTCTCACTATCCTACTGTCTAGGAGGTCCTGTAGTTTCCTTTCCATTTAAGTCATCAACTCAGTGTTATCTGTGTATCGTATATTGCACTCACTGATTAGTAGTGGTAGGGTTTCCAGCTTCCTTTAGATAGCCTCATTGTTGCTACTCAATTTCATTTTCTATCTCTATCTATAAAATGCAGGATGTGTGTGTGTGTGTGTGTGTGTGTGTGTGTGTGTAACGAATGCATGGCTGCAATTTTCGATGGATTTGCACCAAAATTTACATGCACATGCTCCAAGTTAGCAGGAAGGCCAAGACCAAATTTGCATTTCCCAACTCCTATCGATAGTGGAAATAATCGATTTTTTCATGCTTCTATGGCAGTTTTCATGTAGTTTGCGGCCATTTTGTACTGGCCAGAGTGAGAGCCTATAGCTGGCTACCACAAATCGGCAGGAAGATTCTATTGGCCAGCATGAGAGCCAACAGCTGACTGACATGAATGTTAACTAGCATGCTAGCATGCAAAAAAAATCAATAGATGCATTCGTCACAAGTGGGAAAAATATAAATCGGCATGGCACTTTACTCCAATTGGCTCATTCGCTTGCTTAAACTCAACGTTGATTCTGATTCTGCAGAACTGGGTTGGGTGTGAAAAAGTATTTGTTGTTAACATTCTTTTTCATTTGGTTTTTCCAGTTACGAGTCTTTTTTTTAAAGCTGATCGTTTTTTGTGTTCATTTTGTTTAGTTCTTTTTTCGTAACAGATTTAATGTTTAGTATAGAGCTTAGAAAAAATTTGCAGTGTGAGATAGGCAAGAAGTAAGTCATGTAGCAACATCGGCATGGCAAAGGGCACTCCTTTAAAGGCAAAGAAGGGCAAAAGTATTTTAAGACAAGTGATAGCGATTGCTGTATGAGGCATATGATTTTTTAATCAAGCACGGGCAATGCTGGGCCATGCTGCTAGTCTATACTATAACAAACATTATTTTGTAGATACCCATCTTTGAGTAAATGCCCTGTTTGTTTATTAATAATTAGAAAATCAGAATTATATTTGCTTTAAGAAGACATCTTTTGTTAGTTCAGTATGTGTTCAGATTTAAGTGTCGCATTTTCAATCATTTATTAAAATACTTCCCAGTTGTTTAAACTTCTATACTTGCTTCATATTCGTCATCATCTCAAATTCATACATCATATCTTGGGATTTTCACTTGCTGATGGCCATACTTTCTGTCCTCTTACAGTTGATAGTTCATCTTTTTTTTTTCTTGTTTCTTTTTACTACTTTGTCTAAAAGATTCTGTAGTTTTCTTTCTGTGTCTGCCATCAACCCAGTGCGTTAGGGGTCAGTTTTTACTTATATTTAACATCAGGAAGAGGCAGTTGAAATTTCTGGGGCATGTAATGAAGAAGCAGGGATTGGAAAATCTGACACTCACAGGACAGAGGGAAAGAGAGATAGTGGAAAGCAGCATGTAACATACTTAATGAGCTTGAATAAATGGATGGTATGACAGGGTTTGGGAGAGATAACAATACGACAAAACTTATTAAGTGCTACAAGGGCAGGAAGACGTGGAGGGCTATGATCATCTACATTTTGAAGGGGCATGGCACATAAAAGATGATGATTTGACGTTAGATATGATGACTAGGTTTTAAGTTGAATTGCTGGGAATGCATACAAATAAAAAATAATGTAATTAACTAAGACAAGGAGTTGAAAATTGTTAGTATTTCATGGATTTTCTGCATTTTCCTTCATATTTTTTTTAGGTTGAACAAGTCTTTTGAATGTCAGGATGATTATTTCATTAAAGTTTTCTGAAATTTCTATCTTGCAATTATTGCTCTTCAAGTTCCAAGTGCTAGGATGGTGATACTCATTATCGTATCCTCTTTTTTAGTGCTTTCTCATTGTAAATAAACATTTGTTTTTTACAGTGAGGTTCACCCTATATAAATAGAGGGTTACAGTAAGAGACAGTTTATGTGGATATGAAGGGAAGAAAGATAACGGTTAACTCTAGACTTGAACAGGTTAAGATTATAGTGATTGTGGCGACATCCTTTTGGTTTGGTTTATTTTGTTTTACGGCATATCAACCTCAATGGGTTATTTAATGCTGACATCATTTTTTATTGCTGGTAATATTTTTTTTTTGTCAAAAATCTGTTTCTGGTAATATTTTTCCTTCAAAATTGTATTGCTGGTAATAATTTTTTTCAAAAAAGTATTGCTGGTAATAGTTAACTATTTGCCCGTAGCTGGGACCCTAACAGGTGCTACCACCCTGGGTCAGGGTGGACCTGGGAACACCAGCAATTAAGAGGTGGTTCCACACTCCTCAAAACCTGATCAGAGGCTTTGCTGTTAGATGTAGTTTGTCTTACCCAGGACGCAGATGTAGTTTAACATCTTACACAGGACGAAAACATCTTTTTGGGAGTCAGTTCCACACAGTAGTGGTTCATGAGTAGAAGCTGTTTGAGTGGAACTTCACATGAATGGAATATGGAGGAAAGTGGGTGGTTTGTTACAATGTGAGTGGCATGGCGGGTCCTGACGGAATGAAGAAATGCAGTTTGTCTGAGCACTTTCCATGTAAGTAGTGATAAAACATTGAGATACTTGCCACATGACACCTGTGAGAGAGAGGTTGGAGGGTGGAAAATAATTTGTCACTTACAGGGCATCCGAGACGCTTTTGGTCTCTATTAAGACTAAAAATTGAGGACTGGGCAGCTCCCACCCAAATATGACAACTGTGCTCCTGATCTGGCTCTTGTAAAGGTAGTGGATAGCACAAGGAGTCAGGTGCCTACTAGAGTAGAGCAGTGAACCGGCAGTTTTTCCTGCACCTTTGGTGATGGAATGTAGGTATAAGTTCTACTTGAGATCAAGGGTATGTTTAAAGCCCAATTGTCTCTCAAGGCACAGGACCTCCCCAAGGCAGCATAAATTTAATTGTGACTGGTGATAATTCAGCGTTCGATTGGTGATGATAGCATGTAACTAGTTTGGTTGAAGCATTGAATGTAACCATCCAGATTTTCCTCCCACTAAGGAGTTACAGCAAGATTTGATGAGAAATCAGCTGCCAATCTCTGATCATCATGAGTTTTGGAGGTGCCCCTCTATGTCATTGTATTGTAACAGTGTTAAGAATCCTCAGATTTGTTATTTTACATGTTGCAGTTTTCTTTTCTAGAATTTCCTTTTGATTTTATGAAGTTTTAAGAATAAATATTGTTCTGATTCCATTAATTGTTCTAACAAACATCTCCATGTTTATTATTTTAATTAGTACTTTAAGACTGATTAAAGCAGATACTCTCTAATTTTTTTTTTAGTTTAATATGAAATTTTGGGATCATCCATTTTCATTATTCAATCCATATGACTAGTATCTTAATCCTTTTATCTACTTTTTACAAAATTTTAGTTGGTGGTTTACTCAGGTAGTTATCAAAGCAATGAAAATATGAAGACTAATCCAGTAATTAATAGTTATCTCATTTCACAACTTTTATACAAGTTAGGAAAACACACTGACCAAAATATATTGATCAGAATAATAAAAATGAGATTGACAATCTAAAATATTGATCAAATAATGCTATTTCTTCACTTAAAAACCACAGACAACAATTGTGAAAATTTTATTTCAATGGCAAAAGCTTAAAAATTTGAAATTTCAATAAATATTGACAATTATTACTTAAAGTACTTTTCAAAATCTACAAACACATGAAACAATTAAATTTTTCCACTATATTAACACACACACACAAACTTTCCTCCCTCCAATGTTGCTCTAAAAATTTTCCTTCTCAATACACCTTGAAGATAATGGTTTCAAGTTAGCCAAACATGGGAACTTAACATAAATATCCCATATATACAAGGTAAAATCAGAAAGTTCCTAGATTTAGCTTAAAAAAAAACTAGACCATTACTCCAGTAAATAATGAGTTTCATATATTATTTAAATTTGGCTAGCATCCCTTTTGAAATTATCCTCTTGGGAATGTCCACTGATTTTGTTCATCTTTTTTGGCATATTGCTGATGTTGGTTTCGCCTGACTGTTCATCTTGAACCAACATTATCATCAAAATATTTCTAATACAATATCATTATAATCTAAATATTTACAAAGCTTAGTCTTGTCTGGTACAAGGCAACAACAATTCAGCACCCAGTGAAGATCAAGCTCAATCAGAATAACTGAAAAGATTAACGTCCAGCACTATGAAAGGTGACTGTAATATTTGATTCTATTTTTAGTCAATGGATAATGAAATATTTTAATTCTGAAAAAGTATGTCCACCAGAAAAATTTTAAACAGCAAAAATAAGCCCCGAATTTAAACCCAGTTTGCTGATTTTACAATATATAACAATATCAATTATATACTTCATGTATCTGCTTGATTAAGCTAAACTTAATTCTTTATGAATATGTTAGTATATCAAATATATTTAATTTTTTTGGTTGATATAAGTATATAAGATATATTTAAGTTCTTTGCCACTATCTTTATTAGTGTATTTGATACATCTACATTCTTTGCCACTTTCATTATTAATACATTTGATATATTTAAATTCCCTGCCACTGTCTTTATTAGTGTATTTGATATATTTAAGTTCTTTCCTACTGTCTTTATTAGTGTATTTGATACATTTAAATTCTTTGCCTGTCTTTATTATTGTATTAGATATATTTAAATTCCTTGCAGATATCTAAAAACATGCAAGAAAATATTGTTGACAAATAACATTTTATTTATTCAGAAATGAAAAATATAATGTGCAAATGTATTTTATGTCTACAAATAAATTTTATCTCTTGAAAAATAAAAAGATTATTAGTGTCAGTCATTGAGAGTGATTTGTCTTGTACACTTATGTTAGTGTAGTGATTTCAAGGTTTTAATACTTGAAATATTAAGTATATATTTTTGTATGTGTTTGAACAGGTATAAAAAGCATATAATTATATATATATATATATATATATATATATTGATACTTTTGTGTAGAGTAGTTGATGTATCAATAGATGATAGCCAGTGTATTGATTTATGTGGAGTTTTATTTTTATCTTTTCATCCTCAGTCTCTTTGTCTGCATTTCTGTCAATTTATCAACTTATTTTTCTATCTTAAACTATTTATATATTTCTTAATTGGTTCTTCTCTTTCTCTACACTACTGTTTATATCTATCTCACTTTGTTAATATCTGTCTATCTCACTCTCTTTCTAGCACTCTATCCCACCCTCTCCACATCTTTCTGTCTATCACACTCTCTATATTTCTGTCAATCCCACTCTCTCAGCCTGTCTGTTATTTTCTCTCTCTCTATCCCACTCTGTTATTACCTCTCTCTCTCTCTATTTATCTCTCTCTGTCCCTCTGTTATTATCTCTCTCTCACTATGCCAGCCTTTTATTATCTCTATCTGTATATCCTGCTCTCTCCACATCCCAATCCACATACATCTCTATCTATCCCACTCTGTTATTTTTTCCCTCTCTCTCCCATTCTGTTATTATCTCTCTCTCCCACCATTATTTTGTCTCTCTCTTTCTATGCCACTCTTTTATTATCTCTCTCTCTCTCTGTCTATCCGACGCTCTTATTATCTCTCTCTCTCTCTCTGTCTATCCCATGCTCTTATTATCTCTCTCTCTCTCTATCCCACGCTCCACATCCTACTCTGTTTATCCTACTCTTTTATTATCTCTCTCTCTTTCTATCCTACCCTTTTATTATCTCTCTCTGCCTATCCTACTCTGTTATTATCTCTCTCTCTCTATTCCATTCAGTTATTATCTCTCTCTCTCTTTCTATGCCACCCTTTTATTATCTCTTCCTATCCCATCGTTATTATCTCTCTCTCTCTCTTTCTATGTCACCCTTTTATTATCTCTTCCTATCCCATCGTTATTATCTCTCTCTCTCTCTTTCTATGTCACCCTTTTATTATCTCTCTCTGTCTGTCCCACCCTGTTATTATCTCTCTCTATCCCACTCTCTCCACATCCCACTCCACATATATCTCTTGTCTATACCACTGTTATTATCTCTCTTTCTCTTTCTATCCCACCCTTTTATTATCTCTCTCTGTCTATCCCACTCTGTTATTAACTCTCTTTCTCTCTCTCTATATCCCACTCTGTTAATATTTATCTTTGTTGATATCTACCATCTCTATCTATTTTATTAATCTCTATCTTTTGTCTATATATTTGTTTGGATATACATCTTTGATTTTTTTTCCTTTGTTTCTATATATCGTTTTTGCAGTTGCTTACTGATTGATCTGAATGTTTATATCAATCAATCTCAGTCTGTTCATATCTATTTAATGTCAATATCTATCTTTGTACACATCTGTCAACCATAATATGACCATTTTCTTTATATATATATATATATATATATATATATATATATATAGTGTTGCTGAAAATTACTCAACCTGATCCACTCTAATATCTGACAAACCACCAAGCACAAGTTTTTTTTTTTTTTTTAACGATATTACCTTGGTCAGTCTGAGAACTTTTAGAAATCTCTCGTAGTATCATATATAGTGAGAAGTATGATGGAATTCTTATCTGAATGGTCCTGTAAATAAAGAAACATTTATCAAGTTCATGTCTCCTGTATAACATCAAATGTGAATATGCTTTTATATTTGACTTTGCCTGATCCACAATGCACTCCGTGGCTGAGTCTGTCTACAGCACGTCAGATCTAACGGCAGTTTCTCCTGCACAGGTTTGTATCCTGACAGAGAATGTATATCTTTTTCTTTAATAAGATTTCTTGAATATTCAGGCCAAATTTAATAAATGAGTTAAAATATGAGTATCTACTAAAATTAATGTCCAAATGATAATAATATATGTACTTGCGTTTAAGCATGGAACAGACTGTCACTGCTTGGTGTTCACTTGTGTGTGTGTGTGTGTGTGTGTGTGTGTGTGTATATATATATATGTTTAGAGAGAGAGAGAGAAAAAGTCATAGTTGTTCCAATGAGAGAAAAATGTATATCTTAAAAAAAGGGAGAAACAACAAACGTTTTTGGTTATAATGTAGATTTGTTTTTGTGTATATATTTTATTCTTCATATTTCTGCTACACGTGTTTCCAGGCTTGTGACCTTCTATTCAGGCAAATAAAAGGAATAAATTTTTTCTTATGTTCTTTTAATGTCTTATTGTTCATTTTCTGTATTTGGTAATGAGCTTTGAACTCCTTTCTAAACTGTTCCCTCTTTTTTAATATTTGTGTGTGTGTGTGTATTTGGACACCTCAAGGTGGTTTAATGCTTAGCAAGCTTGTCTTGATAGGACAATTACGACTCAGTAGAGTGTTCGATTCACATCGGTGCCCCATATTTTTGACCTTGTGCCACATCTAAGCTACGCATCTATATATATATATATATATGTGTGTGTGTGCATGTGTATATATATATATATATATATATATATATATATATAGTTTATGCAAACTTAGGTAATCCGTATGGGTAGACCTGAGGAGGATGATATCCAGAGAGCTCAATGTAAAATTCAGAGCAGATATGTTTGAATAAAAGACAGACCACATTAAGATTCCATGTAATAAGCTATTTCACCATAACCCCTTTAACAGGGTTCTGGATCATCAGACTTTACTTCCAAAAGCTGAAATGTATATATATATATATATATATATATATATATATGCAGACACACACATGCATGCACGCTCACTCACTGGAGCTCACACAAACATAAACATAAGTGCATATATGCCCAGTCCCACACTGTTCACATATGTTTATGTTTGTGTGAGCTCCAGTGAGTGAGCGTGTCTGCGTATGTCAATGAGTGTATGCGTATATATGTATGTTTGCATATGTATGAGTGGTGTTCCGGTGACAATTTTTCCTTCCACTTCCATAAAAACATTGATATATGCGACCATATATAAACTCAAAATTTAAAAATGAATCAGTTTGTCTGACGATTGCAAATAGCATGAAACCCAGGGGCACAAACTCACATCAATCCAACTAATATATGTGTGTGTGTGTGTTTGTGTAGCACTCCCTCTTTAATATATGGTAAGGTACTTTTATGTCCAGTTTGAAACTATGCTTATGTCATTGACAATAAAATCGCTTTTGCTTTCAACCATGGCCTGCCGATGACTTTAGAATCGCATGCATCTCTTCTGGACAGACTCCTTGCTTAAGTTGGTGAATGCTGCCATAATCCTTGCCTTCAGTTCATCTTTGGTGTTACTAGAAATTTTGTTGGTTTCTTATTCAACGGCACCCCACACATAATAATCAAGAGGGTTGCAGTCTGGGGAGGTAGGTGGTCAAATTTAAGTGGGTGGTGCGATCACAGAAATTATCTGACAGTCATGACTGAGTTCTCCTGCTTGTGTAGCATGGTACAGAGTGCTCTTGACAGACATAGGCTCTTCCAGCAGCCACCCTCTTGACCCAGTGCTGCATTTCCTCCTGAAGGCACTTGATATAGGCCTGTATGTTGAGTCTGAGGCTTTGTGGGAAGATGAATGGAGGCATAACATTGCCATCACTAGTGATCACTCCAAATACCATAATGTTGACTGTATATGTCATCCAACTCTTTCTGAATTCTCTGCACTGTCCTCAGATTGACACTGAAACTCTCTGAAATGTTCATATTGGAGCTTCTGGTGTGAATGCCGTTTCCAAACTTCTGTTGAATTGCAGCATGGTACTCTTTGTCTCACAGACAGTGCCAAACTTACCCTACTATACTGTGTAGTCGACAAAATCAAAAACAAAGAACACACACATACGTGAAAGTAAAGTATAAAATGGCGACAATTTACCCATCGCACCTTGTGTGTGTGTGTATGCATGCATGTATGTATATATATATATATATATATATATATATATATATAAAAATTTGTGTATTTGGCAGCAGTTTTTCTTTAATAAATGTTTTGTTATACAAAACTGATAAACATACTTTTAATTGTTTTATTATATTTTTCTTATGTCTAGTTTGAAATGCAGTTATCAGTAACATAAGGACAATTTCAAACTTGACATTTGTAAATAAAAATACTCAGATAACTCTTTATGTATTAGGGATCAATTTGACACAGTTTTTATATTTTGAACAGGGCTTCCAATTTAAAATGATAAAAGAAAAAAAAAAATCAATATTTTTCATTTCTGACAAATGTTGTAGTTTGAGGAATGTCCAATGAATGTCAGTCTATAAAAATTATTCACCCCCACTACAATTTTTTCCCGTGTGTGGACCAGTTAACTTAAGTAGTGCCCTGCCTACTAGCCTCTGGTTTTGTAGTGTTTACGTAAACATAGTTTCAGCTTAGCTTGCACCAGTACAACATGAATTACTGTCTAAGATGTTATGACTGTAAGATTTCAATACTTGCTATACTGGGGTTATTGTTTGCATAATTTTCAAAAACTCTTTTGAATGATTTTCTATAGTGTCTCTTATAATTAGTCTTTTCATCTGTTCAGAAATCTTTGTCATACCAGCTTATTTCACCATAAGCATCGGAATTCCTATAAAGAAAA